TATATATATATATATATATATATATATATATATATATATATATATATATTGAAGCATAATATTGATGCATTAATGAACTAGTTCTGAAAAATATGTTCAAACCAATTTACCCAGTGTTGGAAATGAGGTTATTGTGGCGCATAAAGATGTATATTCTTCATGACTTTATTTATGACCTGTGACTTGGAGAATAATTCTGAAGCAGCCCATTGAATTAAAAGCGTTAATTCGCATGTGGATNGATTGAGATTGGTGTATCCGCAAAAACGATACCCAGCATTATTGTTTGCAGATTTGTGAAGAAGATAAACATCCGAGTTGAAGTCTACGAATGAATCGATGAGCGAAACCAGCCATGTGCTTTCAGGGCAATTTTTCCGACTTATTCTAATAGTACTTAGTAGATCAAATGGATAATGGCATACTGAGTATCACCTGAATGATCTTATAATTGATGTACTGACTCGTGCGCCAATCTTGATCATACGGAATGAAACCTATGAGCTTTGACCAAAATTTTCAGTTTTGGTACAGACAGAAGTAAAACGCATAGAGGGAAGTTCTTTGAATTGAGCAAAAAGTAGAAAATAGCACATCAAATACATAATGTAAAATCTGTACATGACTGTGATCTCTAACCGCTGAGGGAAGTAACCAGTCAAACTTTGTCAAAACGAACAATAAGGCCATTATCCCCGACACAGATCAGAGTTTTCCCATCGTTTGCAAAACGCGTTTGTCGGATTGCGCTATGCGCGATCGGGATCCCACCGGCTCCGGCCCCAGTCAGTCCGGGAATGTGCAACACTTGGGCGGGCAAATTTAATGCGATCTCCGGACAGGACAAATCCCACAAATAGATTCGTGAATTCCCGGTCCCCGTGCCCAAAGCCAAAACCTGATTGTCCAAATCCACATCAAATCGAATATACCATAGATTACAGTCCGGTGCTTTCAGTTGATGAATAATACTAGTTTTGTGTTCCGTTGGAACACCAGGCATTGCATGCATCCCCGTGGTTGAACCCAACTGTCCACAGATCGGTTGCAATCGACTGGGCAATCGGAGACCACCGACATCCGTGAATGGAACGGGTGTGCTGGCCGGGAATGGATTGTTTGTGATCGTTGTTGTGGTGGTGCTGCTGCTGCTGCTACTGTCCTCCAATGTGCCGGGTTTCCACAAAACCACACTATTCTCGCACGATTTGGATATGACCAGAGCACCAAACCAACGTGCACAATCCACATAATTCCCGTGAACATCGCGAGAGCTGAACTCCGGAAAGTGTTGAATCAGGACCGGAAATGGCCTTTGAAATTGCATGTCATAGTGGGGATTCGAGGAGAGAGCGAAGAGAAAATAAAAAAGAGGGAGGGAGATTAGGAAGACCGTTTTCATATCGAACGAAATTTACCAAACAGTAATCGATGCCAATGAACAGTTGCATGGCTTACAACACACACACACAAACAAACAAATTGAAACACCGTGGTAAATACAGTTTGCCCTTGAAAAATTTGAAAATACATAAATGCACACATGTTGCTAATAACAGGTGGAGTGGACAAGTACTTCCCCCATAGAAATGCTTCCAAATGACTTGTTCTGACAAACAATCTCTGCCGAAACAGTACTATCAACTGTTTTCATCCTTGATGAATATCTCTCACTGAATCGACAGTTAGCTGGCCTGCGGGGGATGGATGGATGAATCCTGATTTTCAACAGAACACGAACAGCGTGTGAAACACGACTGAACTGGAAAAGCGTTCGTGTTGCTCTGTAACTCAGACCTTCAAATGCTCACTCGAAGTTGCAGAGATGTTCTGAATACACTCAGAGCCTAAAAAATACTCAAAGAGGTGAACAAACGAATATCATTGTTCGTGCCTCGTGAGTTGGACTTGTTGATCTACGGTTTCGGGTGAAATCCACAAGCCAAACTACGGCTCGATGTAGAAAGACTTTAATGGCGGCGACGACTCTGTTGTCAGGTGCATTATACAGCAATGGGACTGGAAACGAACTGTGCTCACAGATTTGAGACTTAAGTTCGTACGAGAGATTGGGTCTCTTAAGAATGGGCAGTTCCGATGCAGTGAAAGTATCAGAACCGGAACAGACATTAGCGTCGTAACACAAAAATCCCTTCGACGACCGGCGAAAAGTAATTGGTAAAGTTGTAAAAAATCTACACTCAGGGGACCCGGCCGGACTACACAAGAAATACCGCATTGGCTATCGCGTTACATGTACTTTTTCAGCATGTCAAGCTGACCTGACCGGGTTGGAAACTTCGTGACCAACGTAATCCACGGCAAGATACTTCAATGTGACTAAATCCTGCGTGTGAATGAATCGGTTTCACTGATGCTTCTGACGGCGACTGCCCTGTTCAGTAAAAAAGAATGAAGCGTAGTGAAAGCCAGTAGCTAGTCTACCTGCGGAGGCTGTGTACAGCTTGTCCAACCAGGTGCCCCCTCTCTTCCTTGATTATGATACAGGACTTCAAGTAACATCTGGGATGACACGACGTTGGGAAGAGAGCTCCGAAAGCCTCAATATGGTCGGCTGGTCACCCTTCTCTTGC